TGTAATCCCAGCACTTGGGAGGCTGAGGCAGGAGAATAGATGCGAGTTCAAGACCAGCCTGGGCTACAAACTGAGCTCAAGGCCAGCCTGAACTGCACAGCAAGACCCTGTCTCAAAAAGACAAAAAAAAACAAAAGGCAATTTATTAGGAACTTTAAAAATATACTCAATATAATGTGGTAATAGTCTAGAAATTACTGTATTGAATGATTTTAAAAAACCATTTCAGGTTTAAGTAAGCCTAGGGTAGGAAGAAAGATTAGCGAATTTATCAGTAGATAAAAAGATTCCGCAGGAACCTGAATATTTACCAAATTCCTATCATGTACGCAAGGCGCTAAGCTAGATGTGGTCCTGTAAGGTGAAGCGCCGTCTGGACCTGCACGCGGGGCAACATAGTCCAACCTGCTTCCCAAAAGCTTTGCTAGAGGGTCTTTGAATCCACTTATGGCCACAGTGGCGGCCCATGCCTGTGATCCCAGAACCCAGGAGGCTGAGGGGGGACCTCTGCGAGTTCAAGGCCAGCCTGAACTATGTAGCGAGACCCTGTTTCAAAAAACCAAAAACCCCAAGTCAACAACAACAATACTTAAAGTCAACAATTCTCTTATTCTATTATTTGAAAACTAAGCGCCCACATAAAACGTCCAAGAACACAGTTCAGAAGATTCCACCCTGGGGCTCTTTCTCCACCCCTGCTTTCCCAGTCTTCCCCGAACATTTACTGATTCCTTCTTATGCCCAAGGCTTTAACAATTTTAGAGCAGTTAACAGCTTTTGAGAAACAGTCTAGTTTAATGGCAACATGGTAGACAACACATTTGGCTGAATTATGAGCGCCTTTGAATTCTCAAGGTAGCTGTACGGACAGCAGATTTCCTTTCTTTCTTTTTTAAGTAGGAAAATTTACTGGAGAAGAGAAATGGGGAATGGGGAATGGGAGTAGCTCCTGAGAGACAGGAGGGGTCCTGAGTGAATGGGTTGCCCAGAGAGCAGATTTTCTGTGATTATTTTCTTTCTCTCCTCTGGATGTACAGTACCAGGTTGAAGCACATGGCAGGAGGTCTTCAGCCTCTGGTGTTTTTCAGGAGCAGTGATTACGAGACTGCTGATCTTAGCTGGGTGTGGTGGTACACGTCTATGATCCCAGGACTTGGAAGGCAGGAGGGCTGGGGCAAGTTTGAGGCCAACTGAGAGTACATAAAGAGTTCAAGGCCAGTTTGGAATAGTGAGATGAGACCCTGTCTCAAAAAAAAAAGAGTGCTAATTTTGCAGTCTCAATTTCCTTATTTGTAAAGTGGACGTAGCTAACAAAGCTGCAGTGGGTAGTGATAAATACATGTAAAATGCCCAGCACACAACTGGTACATGGTAGGTACTTGATACATGGCACTATTAAGGTGACACGATGACCGTAAGTCTAGAAATGTTGGCACGTAATAGGTACTAAACCATTAGTTCTTTCCTGCTGCAAAGCTGGGATAGAGCATTACGGTTTGTAGTAAATTAATAGTTCATAGGTGCATTGAAATATACTGGGAGAATTTGCAGAGCTTTTGCAACTGTGCAAATATGAAGTCAGTCTGTAAAAAAAGGAAAGCTTTTTGGTCTGTATCATGCATTTACACCATCATTATGTACAGTGTAAAGACATTATGTCAAATGTTGATCAAAGCCAGGCGTGGTGGGGCACGCCTGTAATCCCATGAGCTCAAGGCCAGCCTGAACTGCATAGCGAGACCCTGTCTCAAGACACAAATGAAACAAAACAAAACAAAAAAATGTTGATCAAGATTATAGGTTCATAAAAATGTCTACACTTAGGTTAAGGTTTAAGATAATACCAATAACTTTGTATCTTACTGGTTTAATTTTCTACGAAAGAATATGAATAAATCAACATTTCTCATTATAAAACATAAATGTACACTTAGTCCACAGCTTCAAATCATTAGGCAGAATTTTAGGAAATATTACTATATATATATATATTCCCTACCCCCCCCCCCTCCAGACAGGGTCTCACTAAGCAGTTCAGGCTGGCCTTAAACTCACTTTGTAGCCCAGGCTGGTCTTGAACTTGCGAGGATCCTCCTGCCTCAGCCTCCCGAGTGCTGGGATTAAACGTATGCGCCACTCTGACTGGCCTTACTATAAATATACTTTAAATCTTTATACCAAGAAGTTTTAAGGTAAGTAGGTGTCTGCTTCATAAAACTGTTTTATTTATGCTACATTTAAAAAACATGAACTCAGTACTCTATAATAAATATAAAATTTATTATCAAGTACAACGATACAAAGTATGTCTTAGAGCACTGGCAATTTCCTTAAAGGTTAATGATGTAATTTAGTATTCAATATTCAGGAAGTTTTTGAAATTTCAAATATTTGTGTTAACTATATGGACAGAGGAAACAAAGTATGTACACATAAATCTAATGACAATCTTTTATTATTTATTTATTTGTTTGTTTTGTTTTTTTTTGAGACAAGATCTTAATATGTATGACAGGCTGCCTTCAACTGGCTATGTAGCCCAGGCTGGTCTCAAACTCACAGCAATCTTCCTGACTCAGCTTCCCAAGTGCTAGGATTATTGATGTGAGCCACCACACCCAGTTTACAAGTCTTTTAGACAGAAAAACCTCTTAGTAAAAAAATACACAAACATACATTTGAAAAGTTTTCTTGTGTGATACTTGTGGAATGCAGTTTCATGCCCTTTTAAGTGTATTTTAGAGCATGGGGGCCACCTCATTTCCATTTACTTTCAATAACTATTACCCTGGCATTTAAAAGTTATTATCAAAGTTGCATCAGATCTCTTTTTTTTGAGACAGGTTCTTGCTATAGCCCAGGCTGGCCTTGAACTCACAGTAATCCTCCTGCCTCTGCCTCCCAAGTGCTGTGACTACAGGGGTACGCCACCATGCCTGGCTTGAGTCAGATCTCTTGACAGACCAAAAAGAAAATAAAATTATTTAAAAAGGAGTACAGAGAAGAGATTACATCTGTCCCAATAAGATGGAGGTTGAAACAATAAGGTTCCCACTAAATTAATAATCTGTCTCTTTTTTTAACTTTTAAAAGTTTTATCAGTGCACGTCTGCAGTACACGCAGTTTACAGTCGTCTTGCGGAGCGGGTACGCGTACGTACCACAGCTGGTTTCTTCTTCAATCCCCGTCTGTCTCCCCACGTCTAATTCCCCATCCTGACTTTCACTCTTACTAATCGCGGCTCATGTTATGGCATACACTGTTTACATTCACTGTGGTTATGGGTCCCGGATCACGGTGTGTCTTTCTTTTACTCGTTTCCCTTCCTCCCCTCATCCCTCAAGCTTGTTCCTTCCCTGGGTCCACTTCCCCACTGTAAGAGACCCCGCCCCGTCTCCCCACCTATCATCCTGGATTATTCTCTTCATTTGTACTTTGCCTCACGCGAATGAGAGATCCCGTATGGCATTTAAGCTTGTGTCTGGTTTATTTCACTCAACATTGTATTTTCCATGTGCATCCATTTTCCTACAAATGCCTCGTATCTGTCATTCCTTATAGTTGAGTAGTATTCCATTATATATAGATACCACATTTTCTTTATCCAATCATTTACTGACGGCTGCTTTCAGGATTTAGTTATTACAAACTGTGCTTCTATAAACAATAATAATCTATTTTATTGACATCCAAATAAAAGCAAATAAATAGTTTTTTCAGTGCACAGATAAAAATTTAAGACATTCAGGAGTCAAGGAATTTACTGTTGGGATTTTAGAAATTGCTGGGCATGGTGGCACACGCTTGTAATCCCAGCGCTTGAGAGGCTGAGGCAGGAGGATTGCTGTGAGTTCCAGGCTAGCCTGAACTAATAGTGAAACTCTGTGTCCAAAAAAAGAAAGGGAAAAAAAATTTAGAAATTAATGTTATAGCTCAATAATAGCACTCTTCTAGGCTTTGTTTTTTGGTCTTTTTGAGACAAAGTCTCACTATGCAGTTCACACTGGCCTTTGGCTCACTTTGTAGCCCAGGCTGGTCTTGAACTTATAACAATCCTCCTGCCTCAGCCTCCCACGTGCTGGGATTACAGGCATGCACCAGGCTTGGCTTCCAGGCTTATTTTTATAACTCATGGCTGTTTACCACAGGCTTTTCTAATTCTTGTGGGTTTGAGGTTTCTCCAGAAACTTGCAAATTTACATAATAAAAATCCCTGACCATAACCACCTTTTGTAACTAACTGCTTTCAAGCTCTGTTTAATTTCACTGAAACCGCCTATAAAAGTGGGATGGTTACTGGCAGAAAGAACCGAATGTCCACATAAAGCTATATAATATACTTGGCTACATTCTGTAACTTTGAATAAAATAAAATCAGTATGTGAGCCAGCTGTGATGGTGCACACCTGTAATCACAGTACTTGGGAGGCTGAGGCAGGAGGACTGCCACAAGTTTGAGGCCAGCTTAGACTACACAGTGAGTTCAACACTAGCCTGTACTACACAGGAACACTATCTCAAAAAAAAAAAAAAAAAAAAAAAAAATCAGCATGTGGAACAAATTTAGTTCCATAAGCTTGGGGTATCTTTAATGACAGCTAGGGATTTAGCTCAGTGGTATAGTGCCTGTCTGGCAAAAGTGAGGTCCTGGGTTTGATTCCTGGCACCCCCTCCTCCAATGACATACTTTTTTTTTGGTCTTTTTGAGACAGGGTCTCGCTATGCAGTTCAGGCTGGCCTTGAACTTGCAATGATCCTCCTGCCTCAGCCTCCTGAGTGCTGGGATTACAGGCGTGCGCCACGACGCCTGGCTCAATGACATACTTTTAATCATCAAAATTACTACCATTTATTATTATGTTGCTTTTTCCTCGTTAAAACTGACTTTTAGCCAGGCATGGTAGTGCATACTATAATCCCAGTACTCGGGAAACTGAGACAGGAGGATTGTTGCTAGTTCCAGAGCAGCCTGGGCTACAAAGTGAGCTCAAGGCCAGCCTGAACTGCATCGTGAGACCCTGTCTCAGAAAGACAAAAAAATAAAAAAGGCTTATTCATGTATTTTTAATTTAACTTGATTAATTTATCAAGAGATTATGTGTTTAACAAACTCAAGAGTCTATCCTAGTTCGAACTTTAAAAATAAAAGCCTGGGTAAACAAAGATACTCCACAAATTCATACTTGAAAGCATATACAACTACTAGGAAAGGGCTTAAATAAAAACATATTCATATTTTCAGATTTAAAAATTCTTCTGAGTGTCTGTAACACAGTTTGGAACCTTAACAAAAAGTAAACTCTTTCCCAGGGTTCATAGTTTTTAAGCAATGCATATTAATTCACAGAAAAGCCCCTGTGCTCTCCCCGAGGCACATCATATTTAGCGCGGACAAAGCTCCTATGAACTTGGTTGTTAGGATTCTTAGCCTGCAAAGGGAAGTGCGGAGCTGGCTGTGACAGGCACCTTACCTACCAACCGGCCTGACAGCAAGATGGGGTGACAGACAGGTAAAACAGACACAGACTTGAATAGCAAACTAGGGTCATTTAGCGAAATGGTAAACTCTCTTTGATAGTTCCTAGAAGAAAAAAAATGGTTCCTAGAAACAGCAATATTTAATGGGCCAAACTCATAATGATGTCATTATTGCAAAATATTTTAAAAATTAACTATATATATTGCCTTAAAAGGAGAGAAATACATGTTTCAGAATTATAGTATTTGTTTGAAATAACTTTCTGAGCTTAAGAAGATAAGCCTTGAATATGCAGATAAACCATTTGTGTGGATATCTCACTTATTTTTTCCAATATAGAAATATCAATATAAGTAAAAAACAGCGGGCATAGTTACATATAGTAATATGGTTCATCAGAATACACGCAGTGAACTTAAAAATCATCACTAAATCCATTTTCGAGGTTATATTCTTCCAAAGTTCCCTTTTCTTTTGTATTTGAAAACGCTACAAAATCATGCACCTTCCCCTTTAGAACATCCAGTTCATTTTGCATCTTTAGTATGCTGTTATCATACTGAATTCCGTCCAGGGTTTTCTGCAGTTCCATTATTTCGGATACCGCCTTTAGCATATCATCTTCCATGGTAAACATCTGCATGGTCAGCTCTTCCACTTTCTTTTCTGCCCCCATCAGGTCCTGAGAGACTCGCAGGACAGAGTGGACAGCATTTTCGATGGTTGGCAAATGCATCTGACATTCTTCCACTTTGGGTTCGTAGCTGGCAAGTTGATTGGTCAGATCTTCATCTCTGGCAAGGAGCGCCTTCTGTTCCTCTTCTAGCTGCTCCACTGCTTTTGTATCAGAGCCCAGCTGCTCCTCCACGCGCTCAAGATCTTCCTCTTCTTGTCTTTTCACTGTCCTAATATTTCGCAGTGTGCTGTCTTCCAAATCTTTCAGCCGTTCTGTGAGCAATTTCATTCCCTGCTCTGCTGAGTTAATCTGGGCAGTAACTTGAGAATGTATATGCTTTGCTTCTGCTTTGAAAATGTCTGTATTACCATTCATTTCTGCGAGGCTTCTCTTCCAGAAATCTGTAATATTTTGTAATTTCTCATTAAGGGTTTGCACCTTTTGAGTAAGCATCTCTTCACTGTTTTCAATGTCATGCATGAGACTTTGGAGGCTGGATACTTCCTGCTTCAACTGGGTCATCAAAGACATGGAGGATGTGGCTTCCTGCAGGGTACCTTCAGTAGACTCAAGCTGCATTTGTAACACAAAACAATTCCCAAGGCTACTTAATAATTGTCATGTTATATTAGAAGAACGCACTTTAACAGTCAGGACCACAATGCATGCCAAACTCAAATCCTGAAGGTGTCTCATATACCTTTGTCGGTGTCAGAATCACACTGACAGAAACATTTATTACTTTAATGGCTGTTTTAACAAATAATTAGCTGTATGCCAGAAAAATATATACATGAGCTTACAATCCCAGATATTTGTACATGTGCACTGAGGCATTTTCAAAAGAAAGAAAATGTTAAGAGAAGTCTGAAGTATACCACATTTTCCTCTTTTTCACTCCAGTGAAAACTTAGATGTAATTCTTATGGTTATTTGGCTTGTGTGTGTGTGTGTGTGTGTGTGTGTGTGTGTGTGCATGTTTTGACAGGGTCTCACTGTGTAGTTTAGGCTGGGCTTGAACTCATAATGTAGCCCAGGTGGACCTTGAACTTGAGGCAATCCTCCTGCCTCAGCCTCCCCAATGCTGAAATTACAGGCATGTGGCACCACACCAGGTTTTATTTGGCTTTTTAGAAACTGCAATGCTGTAAAATTTGTTGCCTTGTCCAAATCCTATGATTCTGGAAGAGTTTCTGTCTGAAAAAACATTTTTTTTTTGCCAAGTCTGACTACACTATAACAGAGAAAGAGTTATGGAAGCACTTGGGTGGGGACACAACCCAAGACTTCATGATCAAGTACTCTAGAAGTATTGTAAAGATCTGCTTCCAGACAGTTGTCTAGACACACTACCCCTAGATTAACCTTTAAAAATTGCTATGCAGCCAGGTGCAAGTGCTTTTCACTTACAGTGGTGCACACCTGTAATCTTACCACTCGGGAGGTTGAGGCAGAAGGACTGCTGCGAGTTTGAGGCCAGCCTGGGGGCTACACAGTGAGCTCAAGGCCAGTCTGAACTAGATAGCAAGACCCTATGTCAAAAAATCAAAACCAAACCAAACCAAACCGAAGAACTTCTAGGTACATAAATGCACACATTTAAAAAACAAAACAACAACAAAAAACACTTTTATATCTCCCGATGCTTCTCGGATACAGTCCATAGCCCTAGGCCTGACCTCCTGAAGTACCTATGACATTACGTATTTGTCAAGTGTAATAAAAAATTTTTGACTGTTCTCTCTGTGCCCAATCAGTCCCTGGTTTTACAACTTGACATAGTGTTTTGGATCTTCTATGTCCTATGTTCTAGATTCCTAATAAGATTGTGTGTGCATGTTTGTGTGTGTGTGTGTGTGATACTAGGGATTGAATCCACAACCCACAGCCTTTGCACTGAGCTGCATCCACAGCCCTATTTCCCTATTTTTTAAAAATTTTGATGCAGGGTCTCACTCAAGTTGCTAAATTGCCCAGGCTGTGGTGGAACTTGCAGCCCTCCTGCCTCAGTCTCCCAGAGTGCTGGGATTAGAGGTGTGCACCACCGTGCTGGCTCCACCGAGTGCCTTCTGTAAGCTCATTCATTCTGGGTGCACAGGAAACAGAGAGGAACGACGGCAAGGGCTAGGGATGTATGCAGCTCGGTGGAAAGCACTTGCCCAGCATGTTATCAAGCCCTGGGCTTAATCCCTAGCTTGGGGTGGGGGGCAATATTTGATCTAAAGAGACACAGGGAGACAAACTGAGGACAAGAAAATCACAACAGACTAGGACTAGTGTCACGACAGCACAGGGAGCAACAGTGCTTAGAGGACAGGTAAGACGGGGGCAATGAAGAAAAGTTCACACGTGACAGAAATGCAACTCATTAACAGACTGATGCACCTGTCAGGTGAAGACCAGAAAGCTTCTAACTTCTCCTGGAAAAGAACGTGTCTTACGATTTTTTGTAGTCCCCATGTCCCAGAGTACAAACAACGTGTTTGTAGATGTTTATGAAGAAGAAATAGAACCTAAGAGCCAGCTCAGAGGCACAAGCGCCTGCCTGGCAAGTGCAAGGTCCTGAGTGGGATTCCAGACACACAAAAAAAGAAAGGCTATAAAAGCCCCGGGTGACAAGTGGGGATGATGTGCAACAGACCCCTCTGAAATGTCATTTACAAAGTTATTTTAATGCACTTTTGTCACCACGTCACCACGCAAGTTCCTTTAAACACTAATTCTAAAAAATACTTGTACATTGGTAATACTGTTAGGTTTGGTTGTTTTAGTAGTACCTTAAACAGGTAAGTCTGTCTTCACCCAGGGTAATTTCTTGTTTAAGTTGTGTTTCAGAGCATAATCTGGAGGCCAAACACCCCAAGTACAAAATCCACTTTGAGGGTAATAAAGTTTCAGCTTTAATCTGCAAAGAGTAAGTAACTAATACATTACAGTAACTAGCATTTATAGGTTTCCAACGTATTTTAATAGTTTTCCAGTGTTCTGAAAAGAACTAATACTGTAAACTTATTAGTGCTTGAAAGTTTTCAAGGGGTTTTACATACATCTCATCTGATCCTTACAAAAACCTTGTGACGTTTTATTTAATGAATGAGGTGAAACAGAAGCTGAGAGAAGTGCCAGTGATTTGTCCAAGGTGACAGGATGGTGATGAGTGCCGAGCTCCTATGCGAAAGGTGCTGTCCTTACATTACTTCCCAGGGCGGGCGGGGAGAGGAAGAGTTACAAAAAGGCTGCACATTTCTTGAATTCCATGATATTTTAAAAGTCTGCTTCCAAGCTTTATTATTTACTTATTTATATTTATTATTCAGCTTATTGGTATACAAGTTAGATATACATATTGATCACATTCATCATAGGGAATTGATACCTGTCCATGGTTTCTCTTTTTTTTTGCCTTTTTTTTTTTTTTTGGTTTTTCTCTGGTACTGGGAACCGAACTCACGACCTTGCGCTTCCCAGGCAGGCGCTTTTGCCGCTGAGCTATATCCCCAGCCCCCTCCATGGTTTCTCTTGATACCTCTTTTTTCCCCTCTCCCCTCCCCAAAGCTTTTAAATTGTCACCCAAATTCTTCATTTAAAATGGAAATCTAGTCTGATGATGCAGGCCTGTAACACCGGCAGTGTGGGAGGCTGCAAGTCTGAGCCCAACCTGTACAACCCCGGCCTAGCAAGACCCTGTCTAAAAACCAAAAAAAGAAACAACAGAACCGGGAATGTACTCCATCCAAAGGTCCCGGGCTCAATCCCTAGCATCGGGGCAGGGAAAGGAAATCTAATTGTTCAAAACTTGCTTTCCATAGCTTTTTAAAAAATAGCTTTTAAATAAATATGTAAGTCTTCCGGCTCTTGAAATATCACTTTCTATAAGTATGTTAGAGTGCCCCCACCAACCACAGCCAGGTTCCAACTTGAGCTCTGTGTCTAAAGCGAAGTCTTTAGTGCTCCTTCCCAGACGCCCCTGGGTTCACCTTCTATGGAACTGTCTCCCATGGGTAAGAGAGGCTGCTTTTCATCTCTGGCTTTTCTTTGCTAGAAGACTAAATGCTCATCCTGTGCATGAGGCCCCAGGGGCTCAGACCCCCTATTTTATTTATTTATTTGAATATCAACTTCATTGAACTAAAATTTGCATATATATCATTTACAAACTTAAAGTGATTCAGTAGATTTAGCATACTGACAGAGTTGCACAACCATGGCCACGATCGAATTTAGATCATTTTTGTTATCCCAAAACAAAATGCTCTACCCACTACCTATCATCTCCCAATCCCCCACCCCCCTAAGCCAAGGCAAGCATGAGCTACTCTCTATATCCATAGATTTTCTTATCTGGAAATTTTTTTTAAGTTTTTATTCAAAATAGACCATACTCCTAGCAACAACAAAGACCTTAACATATGCAAAGAAATGGAAACCCTGCAAAGTGAGCTCTCATACCATATTGCAGTGAAAATAGAAACCATCAGCAGAAACACAGAATACAACCATCTTTTTTCTCTTTTTTCCTATTAGCTTTTATTTCATAGGTTATTTATATATTAGCTTTTTCATATAAGGGAAACCATGTGTTGTTCAAGCTTTGGGTGTCTGTCTCAAGCCCATCTATCTCACGGCAAGGTAGTACTCCTTGGGGTATGAACACTGCACTTGCCCATCCACTGCTTGATGGGCACGTCGGCTGTTTCCAAGACTGAGCTATAATGAACTGCATTTGTCTATGTTTATAGCAACCTTGCCCACCCTGTCATCAAGCAAAAGTTCCTGCCTACCCTACAACATGAGTAAAGGTTTCGTGATGCATGAGCGAACAAATGAGGCACATTCCCTAGTGATAGCTTGGTGCCTGGGAGGATACAAAGGCCACACGACACCCTACTGATCTCAGCTGACCTTATCTTAAGAGACGTGAGAGTCACAGTAATAATGCATCTGGCAGGAATCCGTATTGCCAAGTAGAAGGAAAGTGCCATAGACATTAAGAGTTATTTTAGTTTTCATTAGAACTCTTTTCTGTGATGGGTCTTGCTATGTAGTTTAGGGTGGCCTTGAACTTGTGATCTTCTTGCTTCAACCTCCTGGGTGCTGGGCTTACAGGTGTGTTCCCATGCCTGGCTAGAACTCTTATTTGGCTAGAGAATCAATATTTACTTTAGGCTATTCATATATTTTTATACACACCCCCCCACACACATGCTTAAAAGATGAAAACTAAGAATGGCTCTATCTTTTCTTAACAAATGCTACACATATTTTAATTTCACACCTAAACATCAATCCTATTTTCATTTATCTCGGTACCTGACACTGAAATCTTTGTCCTTTCAAAATGCAGCCTGAGCCTAAATTGGGTCAGGGGGAGCATGTCAAGACCAGTGAGAGTAAAACAGCTCTGGTTTAAAGGGCAGGAAGAAAGCAGCCCTAGACGGAGTGGAGGAATACAGGAGTGCAGTAACATGGGAACGCCTCCCCAGATAAGATGATTATTAATAATTACCTTTTCTGAAATTAAATTGATTTTACTCTGAAGTCCTCTGAACTCACTGTTTTCTATTTTCAGTAACTGGTACTGGTTTTCCACCTTTGCAAACTTTTCCGACTGTTGAAATACAAACCTGGAAAAAGAAAAGAAAATCACTATTTCCCAGCCTATAGTCATTTAAATTTGGAATTGCAAGGATTATTTACTCTACCCACTTCTAGGAAGAAGATCAGTTCTGGTATGGGCACCAGCAACTTTTCTCAGTTTCTTTCACCGCTCACACAGCCTGCTGGTTTAACTCATGAGCAAACACGGACGCTGCCTCTGTACAGGTGCACGGCGCACTGAGACAGCCAGGGTCTGTGACAGAAACCTGCATGAGAAGTATTTCTGGAGGATGCCACAGTGATCTACTTAGAGTAAGGGAGCGCCAGGGATATAGCTCAGTGGCACAGCGCCTACCTGGCAAGCACAAGGTCCTGAGTTCGATTCCCAGTACCAAAAACCAAACCAAACCAAACCAAAACACAGACACTATTTAGAGCAAGATCGTTGATCTCAACTATTTTCTGCAGCATCTAGAAAACAGGTATTTTAGAGGAGAAACAAATATGACGCAAAAAAGTGTTTTAAAGATAAAATGTAAGAATAGGCTAAATTACAAAAAAAAAAAAAAAAGAATAGGCCAAGAAAAGCAGAGGAGCGGAGGAGACAGGTGGGAGTGATTAGTGGGTATAAGATGAAAAGAGAAGAAAACAAGCACGCCATTGTCCAAATAACAACAGAACATGTATGTGGTACAAGGTGTGGGAACTGTGCAATTGGTTATACTCAACAATATCACTCATACAGGTGCTGGACTGTAGCTATGCTTCTAAAATCAGAGCTGGGGCTGTACCTAAGTGGTACAGTGGCATGTGAGAGGCTGTGGGTTTGATGCCATTTCCAAAGCAACTAAAAAAAAAAAAGACAACTCAAATAAAGTGGAGTGTATTCTGCATCTGGTAAACAGTAAAACTGCAGAAGCAAAGCCAGGCGTGGTGGCACGTGCCTGTAAATCCCAGCACTCAGGAGGCTGAAGCAGGAGGACTGCTGGGAGTTTGAGACCAGCCTGGGTTACATAGTCAATTCAAGGTCAGCCTGAACTACATAGGAAGGCCTTGTCTCAAAAAACAAAACAGAAAGGGCCAAAAGCATAAAGAAGCTATCCAGTCTTTAAGTAGGCATCCAGAAGGAACCACTAGGCTAAATCCAGTCCAATCTCTTTCTTTAAAACAATATATCAGCACCACTTTGTAAAGGATTTGAAATTCAGCACAAATGAAATGCTTGGGATTAATACCACTTTGGTTATCTACTCTATCTGAATTCTTCAGGCTCAGAAAAAGCAGCAGTTCACATCCATGTTTATAGCAGCACTGTTTGTAATAGCTAAATCTTGGAAATAGCCCAAGTGCCCATCAACCAATGAATGGATAAAGAAGATGTGTTTTTTTTTTGTTTTTTTGTTTTTCTCCGGTACCGGGAACCGAACTCACGACCTTGCGCTTGCCAGGCAGGCGCTTTTGCCGCTGAGCTAAATCCCCAGCCCCGATGTGTTTTTTTTTTATACAATGGAGTACTACTCTGCCATAAAGAAGGATAAGCTTGAGGAGTTAAATGGATGCCACCTTGAGACCATACTCTTAAGTGAAATAAACTAAACACACATGTGTAAACAGTGCATGATTTCTCTGGTGTAAGAAACCAGAAGTGTAAATAAGGACCAAAATATATAACTGATATTGTGAAATTGGGAAGAAAATAGTCAAATGAGAAGGGAAATGGGGGTGGGGGAGAAGGGACAAGATAAAAATAGAAGGAAAAAATGGAAACAAAGCTTTTAATGGGGAGGGGAAGAGGCGTTGAAGGGAGGGTAGAGGAATGGGGAAAAAAACTAAGTTATATCATGTACAGGTACAGATTCTCTATGATGAATGTGATTGTTATGTATATCTAAAATGTACCAATAAAATCTAACTTAAAAAATATATTGTGCTGCTATAAACATGGGTATGCATGTGTCACTGTAATATGATGATTTTAACTCTTTCAGATACTCAGAAGGGAAATAGGTGGGCCAAATTAATGTCTACTTTTACTTTTTTGACTTTTTTTTTTTGAGACAGGGTCTTGTTCTGTAGTCCAGGCTGGCATTGAACTCACAGCAATTCTCCTGCCTCAGCCTCCCAAATACTGAGATTACAAAGGTATTCCGCTACACCTGGCTCTCTATTTTTAGTACGTTGAGGAATCTCCAAACTGATCTCTGTAGTGGTACTACTTTACATTCCCACCAAGAATGCAGAAGGGTTCCTTTCCCAGCCACATCCTCACCAGCATTTGTTATTAGATTTTTTCATGATAGCTATTCTTTGTGGAGTAAGATGGTATTTCAGTGTAGTTTTAATTTGCGTTCCTGATGGCCAGCGATATGGAATAGTTTTTCATGTATTTATTGGCCATCTGTTCTTCTGAGAAGTATCTGTTCATTTTGGTTGCCCATTTATTGAGTCTTTTATTTTTTGGGGGTGGGGTCTATTTTTTTGAGCTCTTTATATAGTCTACATTCAGTCCTTGTCCAAGGACTAGCTGGCAAAATTTTTTTCCTACTCTGTAGGTTGTCTCTTGACGTTGATTGTTTCCTTTGCTGTGTCGAAGCTTTTAAATTTGATATGATCCTATTTGTTGATTCTTAGTATTATTTGTTGTGCCCTAGGGGTTCTGTTCAGATAGTCTGCCTATTCTTTAAAAGTTTTACCTTGTTTTATCTTCCAGCAGCTTGCTCTAACATTTAGATCTTTCATCTATTTTGATTTTAGTTTAGAACATGGTGATCTGTATATGGGTCTGGACTCTATTTTCTGTGTGTGTATATCCAGTTTTCCCAGCACCATATATCAAAGAGGCTGTTTCCTCCAGTGTGTTTTTGGTTCCTGTGTCAGAGCTGAGATAGTTGGCTGTGTGTGGAGTTGTTTCTGCTTCCTCTGATCTACCTTTCTGTTTCTGAGCTGGTACCATGCTGTTTTTATCACTGTAGCTTTGCAATATGACTTCAAATGTGGGATAGTGAAGTCTCCTGCTGTGCTATTATTACCCAGAATTGCTTTTGCTATTCTGAGTCTGAAAGAGAGACTTCTAAATGCAACCATTTGATCTTTGTGTAGCCTTGCAAAGGTTTTTATCACCTCTTTTCTTTCTTTTTTGGTGCAGGCCAAGTGTTCCACCTCTGAGATACATCCCCAATCCAGTGGTGGCATTTTGAGCTTACAAATAGTATCACTGTTTAACTGTTCACATAAAACTATAAAAATGGGCTTTTTTTATTTTTTAAACAAATATGCACAAAGTTGGCTGAAATGAATTTCTTTTGATGATGCAAGCTAATGTCTATGATATACTTATAAACCAGGGTTACATAATTAGCAGGCTGACGTTTTTCCTGTGTTAATATGAACTATTTTTCCAAAAATATATTATTTATTTAGGTACTGAGGATTGAGCCTGGGGAGCTCTACCAGTGAGCCCTTTTTCTTGCTAAGTTGTCCAGGCAGGACTTGAACCTCTGATCTTCCCACCTCAGCCTCTGGGCTGGGATTACAGGTATGTGTCACCATGATAGGCCAATATGAACTTATAAAACTACATTTGATCATAGCCAAAAGGCTGAGAAGCAATTAAAACTTGTCACTAGAAAGCATTATTTTCCTAATTTTCAAACATAAATATGTGGGGATACTATTTTTAATTGCTTGGCTTATTTTTGTTGTTGTTTTATTTTGTTTTGCTTTTTGAGGTAGGGTCTCACTCTGTAGTTCAGGATGGCCTTGAACTCACTATGTAGCCCAGGCTTTATTCTTGGGTTGTAAGAGTTTTGTCTTATTTCCCCTAGAATACATGCTTGTGAGAGCACCCTAAAGAAATAAAGGTTAATTTTGAACTTACTTTATCATCTATTACTCTATACTGTTACTTCAGGAGTTTATCTTATCACTCAAGTTTATTCAGAATAAAATCATTAGTATAACAGAAGCTTTGTGTAAGTTTGATCCACTATAAAGACACATTACAGCCTGACATGATGATGACTGCCTCTGATCCCAGCACTCGGGAGGCTGAGGCAAGAGGATTGCCCCAAGTTTAAGGCCAGTATGAGATAGTGAGTTCAAGGCCAGCCTGAACTACAATAGCGAGACCCTGCCTCAAACCAACCAACCAACCTACCTATATATTTATAGTAGAAACGAAATGCTTTCTTTTGTTTTTTTTTTTTAGACAGGGTCTTGATATATAGTTCAGGCTGGCTCTGAACTATGTGGCCCTGGCTGGCTTCAAACTCACAGCAATCTTCCTGCCTCAGCCTCCAAGTGCTGGGATAAGGTTATTCCTAATATTCATTTTCTCAGTCATACCAATCTATCACTATTTTGCTTAGTTTAAAATTTATAAAGGGTCAATCATTAAGTGCTTACAGTGTTTTTGTGGCTTTTTGTAATCTAGGAAAAGATGTTATATTCATAACGCATGCAATGGTTTGGAATGTGAGAAACCCTCCAAACTTCACTGTTACTAAAGTTTGCTGCTTTGAGATCAGAATGAACGCTAAATTTCACACATATGCATCATGCCTTTTTGGGTGAGGTGGGGCGTTTGTCTGGACAGCGCAAATGGACAAGAAGTAACGGTTTATAACAGTAAAAGCGTCTGATGCAGTAAGTGCTTAAAAATGCCTGGCGAACAGTTGGGCGTGGTGATGCTCGCTTGTAATCGCAGAACTCTGGGAGGCTGAGGCAGGGGGATCCCAAGTTCAAGTTCAATCAGCGCACCTGAGCGAGACCTTGTCTCAAAATATAAAATAAAAGACAGAGTGGCCGAATCTGCAGCGTTTAGGAAATGTCTGACTCGTTCCCAAACTTGAGGCTGTGCGACAGGGATATGCAACTAGTGCGAAGAATCAATGATTTCAAGAAATGCTCGCCAGAAAGAAAGGAAAGGAGGGCTGAGGCAGAGGTCCGGGCCGAGGCGGAGGCTGCAGCCGGGCGGGAGGCCGGGCGATGAGCAGCCCGGGGCCGCGCGTCACTTACCAGGCCAGGCCCAGGCACGTCCCCAGCGACAGCAGGCTCAGGCCGGTGCGGGGGTCCGCCCAGCCCCCGCGCGCGCCGCCCCCGGCCTCGGGGCTCTTCCAGCCCTCGCTCCGCTTCCCGGGCTCCGCGGGGGCTGCCCTGGGCCCCGGCTTCTTCCGGTTCTTCACCTCGGCCATGTCTGGAGGCCCTGAGCACCGCGATCCCTGGACAGCGGCCCGGGGTGGGGGGGCCGCGGGACGTGGCCACCGGAGCCTCCCTGGGAAGCCTCGGCCGCTGCAGCCTCGGCCCCGCCCCTAAGCCAGCCCCTTTTCTCTCCGGGCCATTCTCCCCGCCTCTCCACCAAGTCTCCCAGCCTCCGGGTTCCTCAAGCCGAGAGGGCGCGATCCCACCTCCTCCCGCTTCCGAGCTCGTGGGCGCGCGCGGGTTGTCCGGACGACGGGGCGCGGGGCGGGGCCACGCACGTCACGTCGAGCGCACCGTGACCCTCGCTCGTAGGCACCCGTTCGCTCCCTGGTGTGACCACGCCCCCCGCCGCAGAGCGGCGGTGCTTTCCTTGCGTGCGCGGGCACGAGGCGGGCTGGGGCGCGCGCGGCGGCCGCCCTCCGGGGCCAGCGCGCGTGTTTGCCTGCGCGGGCGCGCGCTGTCTGGGCTGGGCGGGCCGCGTAGGTTTTGACTGCTCAGCGGTCGTGAGGCGGAGAGGAGGAGGTAGCCTGGGGACGCGAATGCTTCCTTCCCGGGCCGAGGCCTGAGGGCGCCTCCGGAGTGACGCGCAGGGGCGCGGCGACCGCGCCGACTGGCCGCGGTGGCTCGGGAGGGCGCGGGGTTCCCTCC